AGCTGCAGACGCAGTACGACGCCGCCCTGGCGGCGGCCGAGACGCGGGTGCGCCTGAGCCGCTCGCTGTGGGAGGAGCTGGACAAGTTCGCCGGCGACGCGGGCGAGTTCGAGCTCTGGCTGCAGCAGGCGGAGCAGGAGCTGGAGAACCTGGAGGCGGGCGCCGACGACCTCGGGGGCCTGGTGGCCAAGCTGCAGAGGCAGCGGAGTTTCTCGGAGGACGTCATCTCTCACAAAGGGGACCTGCGGTACATCACCATCTCCGGGAACAGAGTGCTGGAAGCCGCCAGCTCGTGCGGCGGGGCCGAGCGGGGCCACCTGGACGCCTCTGCCGCCCAAAGAGAGGTCCAGGGCAGGCTGGACCGCGCCACCGAGCGCTTCCGGGCTCTCTACACCAAGGTAGTTTGATTTTCTGCTGCTAAAGGGATGGCGAGTCTGTGCCAGCAGTTTCCACTGTCCCCTGACCTTCCGTTTTGGAGTCAGAAGCTTGAAAGCTGAAGCAGGGAAAATAAGATATTTTCATCCCACTTCTCTCAGTCTTACGCGTCTGCTACTTCGGAAAGATGTGCCTAAAAAGTAGCAACGTACAGTTCTGTATTTGGTTTTGGGTGGTTTCCAGGCTTCCCTACGTATAAGACGCTGTATTTCCCCAAGGTGACCACCAGGGGGCGTTCGCACTCTGGCTCTAAGCCGACTGGGCTGCGGTTTGAACCCAAGCTTCCTCTCCGGTAATTCCCGTTCCCACGTCTTTGCTTTACAGATACATTTGATCGGTGTATTATTTTAATACTTAATTGCTAACAGACTCTTTCAGCCTCTGTTATCCTTGTGGGCTAGTAGGAGTTTTGTTTAAAACAACCCAAAACTAAGGAAACATTTCCCTGTTTACAATGGGAGCTGAACAGAGCGCCCCGTACGCACCGCTGGCGTGACGAGCGTCGTTGTCTCTCGGCCTTGGCGTCGCTCTGGTCTAGTTTATTCTCCCTCCTCGGGTCAGTCAGTCTTGTGCGGCACGCAGGCGTGATCCGTGAGGCACTGGATACGTATCTGTACACCTGGCGTGTGGCCCCCGTGGGGTTGAACCCTGGAAGATGAGCTGCCTCTGGTGATTGGTACCTGAATCCTTACATTTGGGGGAAGACTCGGCCCTTGTGCACGTGTGTGTGTTTGAATTGGTATAAACCTAAGCTCTCTCCTCGTTTTTACGGGGACTTTTTGATTTGTTAGAGGCTGTGTCTTCATACTGAGCCCTACTGTTTTCACTAGCTTTGGTTGAAGCCTGGTGTGTTGCAGGTCATATAATGCGTAGGCTCCCAGGTATTCGACATCAAGCAGTGGATTTTAATCCCCACCCGGATCTCTCTTGCTTGTTTAGTGCAACGTCCTTGGGAATAACCTCAAAGATCTGGTGGACAAATACCAACACTATGAAGACGCTTCGTGTGGCCTTCTTTCCGGGCTCCAGGCCTGCGAGGCTGCAGCGAGCAAACACTTATCTGAGCCCATCGCTGTGGACCCTAAAAACCTGCAGAGGCAACTGGAAGAGACCAAGGTAAGCAAAGGAGACACCCCACCCCACCGTTGTCCTACTGGAAACCTTCTGTCTCCCCACTTCTGTGATTATTCCCCCAAGGGAAGGGAAGAGTGTCCGTCTCCCTGGAGTGCGGGGCGGACACTGCTTGGTTCTCCACCGTCGGTTCACTTCTCTTTCCGATGAGATCAGTTCTTCTCTGTGGTTTGGCTTGTGGGACGTGGCTGTTGTGGTTTGTATCCACCACTTCCTCCTTCCCGGAGACCAGCGCTGTCTGGGCCACTGATGGTCTTTAGACTGATTCATGTTGTTCATCGCTTGTTCACTGCTGTCTCCCCAGGGCCTAGAACAGTGCCTGGGCCTCTTAGGTCCTCGATGAACGTCTGTTCACGAATGGACAGGGGACGGAGGGGGTGCCCCTGTCACACTCAGCGTGAGTTCCTGTTGAATTCCCTGCCTGCCCCGATTCACAGACGTACAGAGTTGAGTGATCACCTAACCCACTTCTCCAGGACTCTACCTGCCCTTTTGAGAGTGCAGACTCGATGTGGGAATGTTGTAACTGTACAGATCTCAGCCACACCCACACCGAGAGAGAGTCTAGTCCATTTTGTACATGTCAAGCTTATCTTATTTTTATTTTTTAAAATTAGAATTTCAGTAGTTTTTTCAATTAATTTACAGTAAACTCACTTATTTTCCAACATTTAATCTTTACATTTGGAAGTTCTAGAAAAAAGTTTGCAACTATGTATAGTGACAGATATTAACAAGACATTGTTGGTGATCATTTTGCAAAATCTATTAATGTGAAATCATTATGTTGTACACCTGAAACTAACATAACGTTATATGTCAACTATCTCACACTTAAAAAAAAAAAGAACATCTCCCCAGAGATAATAAATTCCTTGGAGAGAGGCCATGTTCTTTGCATTTCAAGCTTATTTTAAAATCCTAACGTAAGGGGAGAAGATTTTGACATATTTCATTCTTATTACACCTGGCCAATAATTTTGGCTTTGGAAGCTTCCTTTGATCAGGTGGGTAGCAGTAGCTGGTTGCTGCCCTAGAGAGAAAGTAAACACTGTATTGCCAGTTAAACTACTGCTTCTCAGAATTTGGTTGCACCTGTTGGTTACAGAGTCAAAAATCATTCCTGTGCTATTTATAAGGGAAACAGGTACCCTACTGACTCAGCTTAATATTAGGTATTGCCTGAGACCAGTGGGTTCTGGCTGGAAGAAAGCTAAGTTGTACTCTGGGGTGAAATGTGGCGGGTTGAGGCCAAGCAGAGGAAGGGCGAGGATCACTGGGTGAGAGGAGGGAGGGGGGCTGGGTGAGGGTTGGAGGGCACTGTCGTTTTCCTGGGCTGGTTTACCCAACCCCACACGAGGTGCCCGGGCGATGTCCTAGGGGGCCGGGTCAGCATCCCGCATAGGTGGTGATGTAGCCCCTGCGGGATTGCCTCCTCCCTTCAGGGGTGCATTTTCAGTCCTGAGGGGTTTTTGTTTGTTTGTTTCTCTCTTTCCCACAAGCTCAGAAACAGACTTGTCTTGATTAAGTTTTCAGCCCCACCTGGATGACTTGTCCAAGGACAGTGCTTGTCGGGCAGAGAAGATGTTGTGACATCGAGGCCACGATTTTAACAGGAAAAGCAGGGAGCTGGAAATAATTGTTAAGATGGTCCAGGTTACACTGAATTAGGAAGTTAGGTATTGTTAGTATAGGAAAGTAGATTAAGTAGAGAGAATGCATTTTCAGTTAGATCTGTATTAGAAAACTGATTGCCCTCTGTATAAAAGTAATTTTAATGTAACTAAAGCAAAAAAAAAAAACCCCAAAACCCAACAAAATGAATGCTATGGCTTTTTAATGAAAAAAAAAAGGCATGGATTAATTCTAGGCTTATTTTTATTTTTTATTTATTTTTTAATGGAGGTCCTGGGGATTGAACCCAGGGCCTCGTGCATCCTGAGCACACTCTCTACCGCTGAGCTCTACCGTCCCATTTTTCCTTTAACAATAATATAAACACTTAAGACCACTACAGAACAATCCGTCTTTTCTACATTTATGACACTCACTTCTCCTTAGATCCTGCTGTATGATGCATGTGAGTTGGGGCACCCAGTTGCTTCATTTGAAATATTTTTGTCCAATGACATATGGACACCAGCATTATGATTCAAATAACTGTTGGTGGTGTGGTCAGCAGTCTGATGCCACTGGGCTGTAATGACAGTCGCTAGATCTGCTTCCAGGGAACCCAGTGGACAAAATGAAGCCTTCATTCCACGCGAAGCACAGAAAGGCAGAATCCTGGGCCCCGTCTGGAAGCCTGGGTTCAGAGCCGGGCACTGGCCAGGTCACCCTGACTGACAGCTCCAGGCTTGCTCCGACCTCCGGGAGGGGACGGACGAGTGCCCGCAGCTTTAGAGACTTGACCCTTTTCTGGCCCAGGCTGGAGACCAGGTCACAGCCTTACAGTGTTCCCTGCCTCAGATGCTTCTCTCCTGTTTTAATTCATTGAAATACATTTGAAATAATAGATGAGCACTTTAATTTGCAGTTTTGTTCCAAAGTGGTATTAATGTTTTCCAAAGAACAGTTTTTTTTCCTCAGCGGAGGCGCTGGGGATTGAACCCAGGACCTTGTGCGTGTAACATGTGTACTCTGCCACTGAGCTACACCCTCCACCCCCAAAGTGATGTTATAAACCACCACTGTAGCCGAATTAAAACCTGGTACCATTAGTTCAGGAACTCAAAACTCTTGGCTCTCTTGAACATAATTAGGAAGAGAAGAAGTGAAGAAGATACGTTTTTGTAATCCATTTCTAAGTTTTAGGATGGTAGGGCCATCTCTGGAACTGGATGTTTTTGTTAACATAAATTTATTTGTTCAGAGACATTTACATGCTAGGCCCACTGTTAGGTTTTGTGAAGACGCGAAGATGTTAAAACCCTCTCTCTGCTCTCGGAGAACTCGCGTTCTAAAAACAAATATTTTGGGGGAGGGGCCTCTAAGTTTATTTCATTTCCTAAATAGCCGTGCGAGGCGAGTAAGCTGTCCGTGTGGCTCAGACTGCAGTGGGTTATGGGGAACGTTGTTGTCTTGAAGAATTTCTGATACTTAACAGTAATTCAACCTGTGGGAGAATTCCCCAGACTGATCAGTCTGAGGCGGAGTCCCGGGCCTCTTGGCACAGCTGTCGGCTCTGGGATTCAGGTCGCGGATCCTGTCCTGTCATGGTTTGTTGGGCCTCCGGACACACACACGTTGGCAGGTGCAGAAAGAGGAGACTGAAGATAGAATTAGGGATGGATTTTGTTGGACCACTGATGGCAGGCTGCAGGATCCCCTGTGTTAGGAAGCAGTGGGAAGGTGTGAAAGCGATACGGTCAGGTGTGCGTCTTCCATAAAACCCACTGGGGGCCGCAGCAGGGGAGAGACCGGGCGCAGAGAGCGTGGTTAGGGTGCGTTCCCATTCATGCGGGAGATTATCCTGCAGTGACCCGGAAACACAGAACGCAAGCCTGATGGAACAGGAGATGATATTAAGTGGGTGAGATGGTCAGGCTCGCTGGTTGCTTTGCGTGTGGGAAGGAGGGAAGAGCCCCAGGTTCCACCTGGGTGGTGATGAAGGGAAAGAGATGCTGGAGTCAGCTTTACTCCCACGTGGAAACATTCAAGGGCCCTGGGAAACGGGGTCCCACACCAGGGCTGAGCCCATCTGCTGTTGGAAAGGTGGGACTTTGAACCTGAAATAGCACGTGAGGCTAGAGAGGGCTCACGCACCCCCGGTGAAGTGCCAGGCAGCCCGGGTGGACCGAGGTGTTGGGGATGCAGGGCTAGACTCGGCATCCTGGCCGGGCCTCTGCACCTTCATGGAGCCACAGGGGCCTCCGCTAAGCAGGTCAGGGTTCCGCGATCCCCTCTGAAGCGGCTGACTCTGCCAACCTTTTTCACCTTCCCTCTTCCTTTAAGCTTCGGGGACAGACCCGTCCCGGGCCCATTTCCATCCCCCTCAACCTCATTGGTTCCGTCTCTCCCTCGTCCCCACGTCACTCACACATGAGCATCCTCCGCGAGTCTGTGTACTCCCTGCATCTTCGTGGGTCTTGACCTCAGTGCTTTCTGTCTGTTCCCGCCCGTGTCCTGGGTCACCTCCCCTTCCAGCTTGGCTCTTTCCATGTGAGGGTCCTGAAAGCACATTCAAGTCATCGTCCCTAAATACACTCTCCTTCGCTCCTCCACTCGCTCCTACTTTTAAAAATAAACAAACAAAAACAAAACAAACTGGGCTAATTACCAAGGCTCAAAAACTTTGGTCCTCCTTCCCTCTGGTCGCCTCTCGCCCTTGGTTGCTGTCTTCTCAAGCGGGGGTGCCTGGCAGGACGTTCTGCAGTGATGGACACGTTCTACAGTCTGCTCCATCCAGCGTGGTACCCACGGGTCACACCTGGCTGCTTAGCACTGGAGCCGTGGCCCGTCCAGCCGAGGAACGGAGGGTCTAGGTTTACTTGATTTCAGTTCATTTAAACTTGAAGGCCACCTGTTGTTAGAGGCGACCACAGTGCTAGGTAGTCAGTCATCAAGTCCTGGGGTCTCTTCCCCAGCCCCAGACCAGGTCTGCTTTCCTGGCTCAGCAGGCCCTCCACACTTTTTTGCTGCTGAAATTGTCCTGAACAGGTGTCTCTGCTTCATTTCTTCCCCACTTACTACGCCCCTCACAGCGTGACCGATTTCGCCTTCCCCCAGGACAGTGAGCACGCCCAGCCCTCCCCCAGGGCCTTGAACACGTCCCCGTGGTGGACAGATGAGACGTGAACCCCTCAGCCCGACGCTGAGGCCTTTCCAGTCCTGTAACTGTTTCCTCATCACACACACACACAGCCTGCAGGAGACCCTCCCGCCTCCTCTGTGTTCTGTGTCCGTTTTTCTTCCTTCTGTGCGTCCTGCAGGGACAATTCCTTTCTTTCCCCTTCTGCCCAAATCCACGCTTTCTCCTGGCCCCTCGCCAGGGCCACCCCCAGGGAGGCCTGTTGGTGTCTGTTTGGACTTTTGTATTTTCACACAGCGTTGCCTGCATTTCTGAATTTGTTACACCTTCTGTTGAATTGGCAGAAATAAATACGACTCCGCACTGAGTCAGGACCTACCGACATGAAAGCCCTGAATGACCTCCTTACCCTGAGTCGGAAATGGCCCCGAAGGGCTTCGGTTGCTTGTTGGTTTTGTGTCTGTCCCTGTGTTCTGGTGGGAGGGGGGCTCTTGCACAAAGCCTGACGGGCTCCCAGGCCGAGGGGAGAGGTCGCAGGAGCGGGAATCAGGCTCAGTACTATGGCCGTACGCGGAGGGTGGGTTTCAGGGCTGCATTTGAGTGCCCCCCGCTGCCACTGTACCACTGACCTTGTTCCACAACTTCCGGCGTAAGTTTCCACCGAGGACAAGTTGGCTCTGTCCGGTTTCACTGTCTCACCGTGAATCTTGTTTTCCATGTCGGGAATCTGGTTCTCAGTCCTCCTGAGTCTGACTGAGGCCTTCCACCCTCCAGGCTCTGCAGGGACAGATATCAAGTCAGCAGGTTGCTGTCGAGAAACTGAAAAAAACAGCTGAAGTGCTCTTAGACGCCAGGGGCTCTCTTCTGCCGGCCAAGAGCGACATCCAGAAGACGCTGGGTGAGTGTCCGCTTCCTCGTTTCTGGCCTCACAGGCACGTTCCGGGTGGAGGGGTCTTTAAGGGATACGGAGACACCGCTAGTGGAGTCTGGGTTGCCGTGTCCTTTCACTGCAGGATGGCCTGGGAGAAGCCACGCACGTCTTCCGGGGCAGGTGTACGAGGGTCTGGGGGGCAGGGTTCTTACGTGCTAATTTTATATTTAGGAAATGAGGCAAAAACTCTTTATTTCCCTGTGGAGTACATTTCTTGAGAGAACAGCCGTTGTATATTATCCTTATGTATTTTTTTTATCTACTCACAGTATCTAGTTTAAACTAAGCGCACGGTGGGTACCAGTTAACGTTGCTCATTATTATATTTTTTTGTTTTGACTTTGCTGCTTTCTATATATATAAATGTGTGGTTTGTGGTTATTACACATGTTTACGCGTGAAATGAAAAACTTAACACAGCAGATAAGTAACATGTTTCACCCCAAGAGAACTTGCATAAAAATCTGAGTGGAAATTTCAGATGAAGAGAAGAGTGAAACTTTGCTCCTCTGAGACCCCACCATGGGGAAGGTTGTAGCTCAGGGGTAGGGCGTGTGCTCAGCATGCACGAGGTCCTGGGTTCAATCCCCTGTACCTCTATTAAAAACATAATTCAGTGAATAAACCCAATTATCTCCCCCCCAAAATAAATAAACCCTTCCACACAAGGGGAACCTTTTTTCCATTCTTACATTCAGAGTCTTTTGGTCATGCACCCATGTGTGTAGAGATATTCATGGATGCACATGTATTTATAAATTATATATACATATTATTATCTTATGTTATATGCATTATAATTATAAGACACAAAAATATAAAAACAAACGTATGAAATAAAAATATGAGTGGAAGATCTCATTTTGTCCCTGTATCTCAGTCTTGACATCTTGTGTTGGCAGCCATTGCTACACAAGGACTTGGGGGAGGAAAAAAGACTATATTACGTGGAATGCTGTTACCTGAACAGGCGTTTTGACATTTGTTCCCATTGTTAATTGTACACAGGGTCACTTTTATTTGTTTAAAATCCATATGTTGCATTACTGGAAGACTAAAATGCTCTCTGGCATAGTTTTCTAGGAAGATGAGAAGGTATGTTTAGGATATAGAAGAGGTTATTTGATGTCTAAGAAAAGCAACCACTGAAAAAAATAACATTCTTCACTTGATCTTAGCCAAAAGGCCGAGAAGCGATAAAAATAACATTCTTATAGTCAATTGTGTTTGTACCTTCTTCTAAAAGAATGTTTGATGACTGAAATTATGAATTTACCTCTGGGACAGTATTTTAACACTAAGAAGTCCAAAAATAAGCCAACACTCACAGTGTGTTAATTAAAAATTTTTTTCGATTACATTATAGTTGACTGGCAGTGTCATGTGCGTTAATGTTATTGAAATAGCTGACTTTGCTTGGGAACTCACCCACCAGGGCTCAAGGGATAACCAGCCTTGCTCTGTGGACACACATTTGAGAAACAGCTCACCTGCCAATCAGCACCTGCAGTTCAGATTGTCTGCTCTGCGGCTTTTGGGTCAGGGCTCCTGCTTGGACCCCCAACTTGTCTGCCCTCCACATCTTGGTGCCTGTTAAACGCTGTCTCTTCCCTCATCTGCATTCTGGGGGGCTTCATTGTTTTCACAATAGGAGTGTGATTGTCCCTTTAAGTCACCCACACTTAACAATCCCATTTCAGTGAAAAGTTGTCAAACTGTTTTCTCATGATATAATGTTAGAACCGCCAAAAAGAAGTATGATTTGTTTATATGGATTGTGTTCTGTGGGCCAAACACAAGCAGGTAAGCTTTTTCCTTTTTAGAGAGATCTTTCAGGTCAAAGTTTTCTTCCATTGAAACATGATACAGTGTAGCAGACAAAAACATTCAGAAATAATGAAAATCCTTTTCAGATTCTTGGACAAGAAGTGATAAATTGATTAAAAACAGATTGATTTCTAGAGAGAGAGGGAGAGAGGTGAATGCATTAAAAACCATTGTTCTTTGAACTTCTCATTGGTTTTCAGTGTAGAATGTAGGATGTTAAAATACAGAGTTTGATGTATAAATGCAAACTAGCCAGAAAGAGGTTTTTGTTTTGGTTTGGTTTGGTTTGTTTTGGGATTTTTTTGTTTGTTTCTAGCATCTTCAGTCTTTAGAATTGAAAGTAAATTCAATCTCATCAGAGCTAGGTTAACCTGTCAACTTTATTTTTTCCTTTTGTTTGCTCTTAAACTTATCAAATAAATTCTATTTGTGTTGTTTTAGAAGCATAATCACAACTTTATTTATTTTACATGAATTTTCCTTGTCATCCGTGCTGCATTTGCCTCTGCCAACCTCTGTGCATTTGAATACTTTGCTTTAGGATGTGAAGGATGACAAACACTTAAACGTGTGTGTGTGTGATAATTTTTATATGTAAAGGTTAATTCTTGAGAAATCTTTATAACTGTGTATTGTTCCTTGAGAATAGCTGTGTGTGAAATAGTCACCTTTTTTTTTCCCATATAGTTATCAAGTGTGGCTAATTTGAAATATCAGATTAAGAACCAGTATTTATTCTAGAGGTGGGCTGTTTGGATCACTTTTCATTTCTGTGGGACAATTCAAATATTCATGCACCCAAAAATCTTTTTTTCAAATGCAGATGATACATGTATATGTATTGACTAGTTGAAAATTTGTAGCTTTTTATTTGCCACTGGGATCTTTTCTTTCTGTTAAACTTTTTTGAGCTGTCTTATTAATGATTTTGCACATTTTCATTTAATTCTTTCTGTTTGTTTTTTGGGGGGGGAGATAATTATGTTTGTTTA